CGCGCGTTTCGAAAGACACGCAGTTCCTATCTCTATAGCGGTAAACTGCGTGTCTTTCGAAACGCGCGGCTGAACTGCGTGTCTTTCGAAACGGGCGGCTGAACTGCGTGCCCTTCGAAACGCGCGGATGAGCTGCGTGCCTTTTAGTCTAAGGTATCGAACAGTTATCAAACAAAGGCCAGACCTAAAAAAGGGGAGACGTAAAGTCAGAAGGTAACAATTGAAGCAGTACTTAACCAGGGTTGCAGATGCAACGACCCGCTTAGCCATTAAAGAAGCAGCACATCAAAACATTACTTTTTATCGAAAGGGGAATTTGATATGAAGCAATCGTGGCTGTGTGAAGGCGACACGGCGTTCACACTGCAAAAGCGTACAAGCCAACTTTCGAATTTGAAGACATTTTTTCACGATGACGTAGTAGGAGCTCTGCCGATTGCTTCGGGGAACATGAATCGTCCACATAGAGTAGTACTGAGAATTGTTACTCTACCTCTGCGCAGTTTGACGTCAGAGCAAACATTTTGAACTCCGTTACTTTTTGAAAAAGTTAGTGAGAACGCCTTTCGTCATCTCCTGATGAAATATAGAAAAGTATTTCCACGTCGGAATTCATTCCTTGCGTTCCCTGGATTTGTCACTCTAGAAATGCAATGTGCCTAAGACGAATATTTCCTTAAAATTGTCCGGAATTTGGAAAAGTACGCATGAACTCATAGGAACGTACGTACTGGAGTTCACATTCTAACAATTTAAACTGCTCTAGTCACCCCACTGTTGCAGTATTCTTAGGTTTTTAATATTGCACCAGGTAATGTTAGTGCTTTCTAGTATCTAGATGGTATAAAACCCTTTTAAAACCATATCACATAGTTGTGAAGGGACGCGGAATCTAAATGGCCCGCATTCTGAGAATCATTCACCCATAACAATCGGGCAAATTGTGGTAAAAGCATTAAAATTAAAACATAGGTTCTTAAAAGCATTTGGAAACTTTTGGCCCTCATCCCATTTCGATCACTCCTTTACTTGTAGTGAAACTAAGTGTGCATTGTGCAACTCTGCTCAACACTTTTAAGTGTGCAACTGCAATTTAAATACTTGTAAGCGTGCAACTCCGTTGTTGTACGCTTGCTAGTGTTCAACTCTGTGGGTGTGAACTTGCAAGTGTGCAAAGCTTTGGTTGAACACTTTCTTAGATGGAACGCTCACTGTGTAGGAAGTGCTCAACCAAGCACTAAAAACCTTTGAGTGAGGTGTGGTGTTTGAAATAATGGAGACAATTTTGCCTCGCTCAATCAGAGCGATGACTGTAAGGCTCACCCTACTAGAGTCATATGCACGGAATCCTCACGCTGAAGCAGTAAGATTTCCCTGACCTCACCCAATCGCAGTGGGGTGGGGCCTCAAGCTCACTGAGTGACGACCGCAAATTATGACTCAAATTGACTAAATTTCCCCTCCATTTAACACAAAATTAGTTTCCCTATCGGAAACCGTGAAAATAAAATATTTTCCAGTTCCTGGTGCTTGGTGGGTAGACAATTAGCAGCAATATCACCGCTGGCGTGCACTCAGGTAGCCTCAGGGGGAAGGAGAGGGGTCAAAGGGTTCACACAACTCCTGAGCCTCGCTGCCTTTACCACAGCAGCAACAGAACTCGACGTGTGCCTGCAGAAGTGGTTTATCTGTGAAGAGGCGCGCAACACTGGCGAATCTGTGCCGGCCCGCCCAACACTGGCGGATCTGGGAAGGGACGGTCATCACAGGCGTATCTGCATTTCGGCTGATCTGCTCAGTCAACTTCGGAGGCCTATTGCTCACCTCACCATAGGTATGTCGTACAGTATTGACTGATGTCTCATTGCAATGTTAAATTTTCATGCTTTTACCACAATTTGCCCGATTGTAACGAGAATTTTAGTGTGCCTCTTGCACCAGTGTTAGAAATCGCATAAGGGCGTTTCCGCTTATTTCGACTAATTTGTTCCAGTTCCACTAGTTTCCCGCCGAGTTCAAGCGATATCTGTTTATTTCGATTAATTTTTTTCCTGGTGATTCCCAGGCAGGTGTACACATAATTTCCGGAGTTCTTGCCCCTCGTTTCACACCGTGCAGTGGACAAATATGGCTGCACTCAAGACAGTTTTGCCCGGTTTTGCCCGTACGGTGACCCTGTACGTTGCTCATGTCAGATCCACCAATGAGAGCGTTTGCGGCCACCAATCTCCATATCACCCCAGCCCAGGGTGCATAGGGGGGTGACAGTCTACTGCCAGGTGTAAAAAGTTAAGCTTTTAAAGCGCCATTTACTGTAGCTCCTACCCCAATAGACTCGAGAAACGCTCAGTCAATCATTTCTACCATGCTTATTAAAGGGTGGTGAGCTCACTTGTGCCGAGATGCTGTAGATGACGAGACAGCGCGTCCTGAAGATAGCAGTCCGAGCCTCACCTTGTAATTTCTCCTGTTGTGTTGTGAGACGACACCAGACGAACCCCAAACACCGATGAAGTATTTCCGTGTTAAAAAGCAAGTCTTCCTCTAAAATTAGCTGTTTGCTCCGTTTTGCTGCATCGATGTCTCCGTTGAGCCGGGCTGGCTGGGGCTGGCTAGGAATGACTTATTCGCTACTTTGTACATCGTTGGTCTAGCGAAACTTGTTTTCTCTATTATTGCATTGTGAACACTCAATATGGTACAGACACTTTAAGTGGATTCAGAAAACAAGGCTACCACAAGGAGGCAGACCTGTGAAAATCGTCTAATGCACGGGTTCGGGAGATTATTAAATTAACATATTCAATTTAATACATAACAGGGGACTGTTGCCCTGCGGAAACATGATCTTTTTCGACATGGATCGGACTTGGGTCAGACGGGTACCCTACGTGGTGGCTTGCACGATTCCAGCCGAATGGATGGACCTGCCACCTGCCACAGCGAAATAAATTGTCATTTACTTTCAAAGGATGCCTCTTTGGCGTGACGAGAGCGATTTCCAATGAGCCACGTCTCTGATTCTAAAACTGAGAGAAGGGTAGAAACCTCTCAACCCAATTTTGCATGCCACAAACTATGGCACTTGAAACAAGGTAGGCCCGCCCTTCCGCGAAACGATCTTGCCAGCTGCTCCACTTCGCTCCGTAGACAACTCCGTTAGGCACACTGTTAACGCCGTGGTCGCCTAGCATGCCAAAATGTTGGCAGTCCTTTTTGACTGCCAAATTTTGGCCTTTTTCGAGGCTGCCAATTTTTGGCCTTCTTTTTCGAGTCTGCTAATTTTTGGCCTTCTTTCAAAATATCAACTTTTGGCAACAAATTGGCGACCTAGTAAAAGGAGGCCAAAATTTGGCATTCAAAGAGGCCAAAAATTGGCAGCCCCTAAAATGAAGGCAAAAATTTTGCAGTCAAAAAGGACTGCCAACATTTTGACATTCTTGGCGACCATGGCGTTAACAGTGCTGTGGCCTTCCGGCCGCATTTGGTCGCGCCCGTGGCTCACCCTATATTTCACTTTGCATATTTGAGTAAACTAAGGCTTCACGGCAGGCATGAGGGCTTTAAGATTAGCCCCTTGCACCCGAGACAAGACTGTACTGTAACGGTGCGACACTGTGACTACACCCTACCCTTCAGCTTTGCACTGTGGGCGATTAGACCCCTTTTCGTGCTCATAAATCGGATTTTTAATGTCATAATTAAAAGTTTCGGACACTGGTTTCTTGTTTGGAAAGTGGTAAAGTAAGACAGGAAATTTAGATTTGGCTCAACCCGCCGCGTTCGACCAGAACAGGCATCGAAAGGCGAAAAACGGGCTAAAATATTGGCACTGGCAACTTTTTCATTTAACATTTTCTAGATGTTAATGTACACTATCGGGGACTTCGCCAACGGATTTCCTCTCCAAAAAGAACCAACTTAAAAGGCAAAACTAAATATTTGATAAAAATACATTTAGTCTTTCATTTTTTTAAAAGCCAATTTTTGAGCCAGAATGCTCATCTTTGAACTCGATCTGTCTTTTTATGATACAAAACAACCCTGAGTTCCCAGATCGCTATCTCAATTTCTTCTCGAGTTATCGTGCGGACAGACAGACGAACACACTAACACACAAACACACAAACTAACAAACAGAATGCAACTTTTTCGGTCAGTGGAGTAATGGGCTTCGCTAATCGCTCAGCCAATCAGATTGTAGTCCAATCCTTTCTCAATTAGATGGTCACTGGCCCGTTTCTCTGCGATTTGTAGTTTTTAGCCCACCCTTCTTCTATCCAACAGTAGAAAAAGGACACGAACTATCAGTGCGACATACGAAATGAGCAAAATGATTCTATCGGTATACTATCGGAACCAAAATCTTAATCGGCCAGCTATCGTAATGAAAGCGAAAAACCACTGATGTGGATTTGATCAGGAATCGATAAGAATACAGCAGAATGGCATATGGTTTAAATTTGATAGATTAGCGACAATAGTAGTGTAAGCTGTCCCTGTTTTGTTCAGCTTCCCTTACAAATGAGTTAGCTATTTTTGAGAGTGGCGGTTTATTGAGCACACTCTAGGGAGTAGGCACAAAAAGTTGTTGAAGTATTTTAACAATCTTCACCCCAAAAAATTTCTTCTCAATTCATGTATTGCTCTTAAAATTTTGAGCCCTATTTCTCGTTTTAAGGAACAAATGCGACTTAAAACAAGAAATGGGGCTCAAAGTTTTAAGATCAAAACCTGAGTTGAGAACATATTTTTTGGGGGTGTTGAGTAGTGGATTATTATTGACATTTCACAGAACACCATTGCAACAAAGACAAAAAAAAGACATCAAAACATTACCATGAAATTCATATCAATAACAGATGGATATGGAATATGAATATTATCAAAAACAATAAAGGTAATTAGCAATTTCAATGAGTAATAGCAAATAGCAAATTGCAAATAGCAATTTCGAATAGAAACAGACAATACATTAGAGTACAACCAGAAAGAGAGTGGCAATTATAGATGGCACACCCCAAGGGTTTAAACAAATAAGTAAAATTGTTAACTAAGGTCAGCAGACAGTAATAAACACTCACATACAGGAAACAAATTCTCAGTGCACAGAACAAGTAGTAATTTTAGTATAGTGCACACTCAAATTTTCCAAATCAAAGTTGACTCAATCATCACAAAAGTGTGCAATTCATTTATACATAACACTATACACAGTGCCACACAAACACTTGGGCCCAAGATAAGTATAGATAATGTGACCACCCTACGACCCAACGGCGAGCTCTTCGTACCGCTGAGGCCCGAGTGCACGGAGGACTTTGTGTTCAGCACTCGGTTTCGGTTAGACCATACCATATGGGTCAGACTAGCGGCTGGCATTGTCGTTTTGGCCACGTCACAAACCCTTCCCCTTCACCCCCTCGAAATGTTGAAATTTTCACATTTTAAGCTGGGTGCGTGGTTGGGCGTACGCGATGGCGGTGGGAATGGTACCGATGGACTCAGGGGGACTTACTAAAGAAACCAAGCCAGTATCGTTGCGCTGCCGCCACCCGCGGCGGCGCGGCGGCCGCGTCAAGACGACGCGGCGGCGCAGCGGCGCGGCCGGGCTAGTCCCGCGCGCCCCGAAACTTCAAACGCGGTGCGCACCGGGTAAATCAGGTCCGATTTCGTTCAGGGGTCCGTAACTTAACACTAGCTATATGTACGCCAGACCACGTCTCGCGTAACAGGCTTCGCGATATCTCACGAAACACTGTTACGCTGCGACGCGCCTGGCGCAC